AATATATTTTATTATAATATATATTAAGAAAATAATTAACATAACAAATTTAGTGGGACATTTGCCTCCACTTCAACCAACTTGCATCCGTCCCTGACAGTGAACCATATATATCGTTGACTTCAATACCCGTGAACCATTTAAAGGAGCTAGATGTTTTTTTTTTCTTCTCAAAATGAAATAATAAGAAATAAGAGTAAGCAACAAATAATATTTGTAAAAACTGAACAAACAAACTTTATTACGTTCACAAGTAAACAAATGACAACAAGCAGACATAATTACAAACTATCATTTTTTTTTCCAACTCACACGTTGAGCATTTCATGTAGGATGAATCAATCTACTTTCTCACCCACAATGCTCTCTTATTTATTATACTTGCTAGTTTATAGCATTATGCTAGTAGTTACACATCTTAAAGTTATAACAACATATGTTACTCCTTTATATCTGGAATGACTTATTTTATCGGTGTTGATCAAGTCACATGGGATCTAAAAGTAGTGAAGAGACAATATCTTTCATCAATTCTCCATTTGTGAATCTATCCACGTTATTTTCATACACAAATTCAGACATACGTGCGTAATTAATCATAATATCGAGGACATGCTTTGGGATATCATTTGAATTGAGATACACTTCATCCATAAGTTTCCAATAATCTTCAATGTCCTTGCAGATGAAATTATAAGCCTCTGCTTCTAAAATGCCATATTGCTTCATGCAACATTCCACGGATGATGCAACATGTACTCTTTGTTGTTCAAACTATATATCAATCAAAGTAAATCCAAATGTTCAATTAGGAACAAAATAATTATGAAATATTAATTATGTTTTGATCAATAAATAATTATATGTAGAAGGAGATATATGTCGAATCAAATCCCTAATTTCAATAAAAAAAAATGAACTAGTACCTTATGTGAGGCCATGTCATCAGTGAGTCTAGCAATAAGTGATGCAGCTTTCATAATATTTGGAACACTAGAAATCCAATCGAAAACATCCTTTGTTGCAAACTCTCCAAGGCCAATAAGTGATGTGAAGAATAGAGGACCACAAGAAGTTAAAATTCCGTTAACTTTATATTCATCATATGTTGGAACATAACCCTCATGACACCATTTTGCTTCCACCATGTATGCTTTTGTTATGTTACAAATCTGCAAGTAGCATCAAATATGTTGATAAAATTAACTATATTAATATTATATAAAGAAGTATTCAAGTAAAAAATTATAGAAACTAGGAATCGTACGGCTTGTTTAAAATGTGGCACCACAAATCTTGATTTTCCACTTTGAGCTGTTAGCAACTCCATTTCATCACAAAGTTCTACAACTATATCAAATACTACTTTCATACATTGAGGAAGAGGTTCAAGGAGACTAATATCCCATCTGGAATTAAAATGAAGAAGATTTATTGACATAAACTTTTAAGTGTGAAATAAGGAGCTAAAAATAAATGTTGATTATTTTGAAGTTATTTTTGTATTGAAAGTTATATAATTATAATTTGTAAGCACATCAACCTCTCTAATGCTTTTGTGAAGATTTCAAGTTCTTGACCCGTGCCATAATTATCATAAGTATCATCTAAAAGACCAGTAACACTGATCATTTTTCCCCCAAATAGTCTTCCATTGCTATCTTCAGGCTTGTAGGACAAGGCCAAGCTCCAAATAAAGCACTCAACAGATCTATCTCTAACGTAAGGGACCTTTTTCATAATGTTTGATTTTTGTCCAGTTTTGGTGTTACCTGACACTGATGAGCATTTTGATGTGTTTTGTGATGCTTCTCACCAGGGGTTAGGTTGTGTGTTGATGCAGGGAGGGAGAGTAGTGGCATACGCTTCGAGGCAGCTTAAGACCCATGAAAGGAATTATCCTACTCATGATTTGGAGCTTGTAGCTGTGGTTTTTGCCTTGAAGTCGTGGAGACACTATTTGTATGGTGCGAGATTCAGTATATTCAGTGATCACAAGAGTTTGAAATACTTGTTTGATCAGAAGGAGTTGAATATGAGGCAGAGGAGACGGATGGAATTCCTAAAGGACTTTGATTTCTAGTTGATGTATCATCTTGGTAGGCAAATGTGGTAGCAGATGCATTGAGTAGGAAATCCATTCACATGTTGGCTATGATGTTAGGGAGTTGGAACTGATTGAGCAGTTCAGAGACTTGAGATTAGAGGTGGAGGTTGTTCATGATCACATTAGTTGTTGTATGATCACCATAACTAATGAGTTCTTGAAACAAGTGGGAACTAAGCAGTTACAGGACCCAGAGTTGTTGAGGATTTTGGGATTACTTGGTACTGAGAGGGCAGCTGGTTTTGAGCTTGGTACTGATGGGATTCTGAGATTCAGAGGTCGGATTTGTTTACCTCATGATTCAGAGTTGAAGAGAGCTGTTCTAGAGAAGGGACACATGAGTCGTCTTAGCATACATCCTGGTATGACTAAGATGTATCAAGACATCAAGAAAAGTTTTTGGTGGCCTGGTATGAAGAAGGAGATAGCAGAGTTTGTAGCCGCTTGTTTGACTTGTCAGAAGGCGAAGATTGAGCATCAGAGGCCCGGAGGGGTTTTACAGTTGATGGAGATTCCTGAGTGGAAGTGGGATAGTGTCACTATGGACTTTGTGGTTGGGTTGCCTAGGACAGCTAGGAACAGTGACTCTATCTGGGTGATTGTTGATAGGTTGACAAAGTGTGCACACTTTCTTCCTGTCAACAAGAGGTGGTCCTTGGAGAGGCTTGCACAGTTGTATATCAGAGAGATAGTACGGTTGCATGGAGTGCCTTCCAGTATTATTTTTGACAGAGATCCAAGGTTTACTTCTAGGTTTTGGCAGACTCTGCATCAGGCATTGGGGACGAGGTTGAGGTTGAGCTCTGCTTATCATCCACAGACAGATGGTCAGTCAGAGAGAACAGTTCAGTCACTAGAGGATCTCTTGAGACCTTGTGTATTAGATCACCTGGGTAGTTGGGAGGAGGTGTTACCATTAGTGGAGTTTACCTACAACAACAGTTATCATGCGAGTATTGGCATGGCGCCTTTTGAGGCTTTGTATGGCAGGAGGTGTAGGACTCCATTATGTTGGTATCAGGAGGGTGAGTCAGTAGTGGTTGGTCCAGAGTTAGTTCTTCAGACTACTGAGATGGTGAGACAGATTCAGGAGAGGTTGAGAGCTACTCAGAATCGACAAAAGTCTTATGCTGATAAGAGGAGGAGACCTCTAGAGTTTGAGGAGGGAGAGCATGTGTTTCT